GGGGTGATTATATATATATAGCTCTGGATCGAGTTATTAAATTAAATGAGTAGTTCGAGAACTCAGATTGGCTCAACTCGTTTGATAAACAAAGCTTGAGATATAGCTCTGGATCGAGATCGAGTTATTAATTTAAATGAGTAGTTCGAGAACTCATATTGGCTCAACTCGTTTGATAAACAAAGCTTGAGTTGAGCTGAGCTGAGTCGAGCCGAGCTTGTGAGATTAAAAAATAGGATTTTTTTTTTTATATATAGAGAATTTTCAATGATTTTGAGCTACCTAGCGTTGAGTGTAATTTCATATTCTCCTTCAAATTAGGCTTTTAATTTTTATTAAAATAAAATGTGAGTTTCATTAATTTCATGCAAAATATATATATGATCAGGAAGAGTCAGGTGAAAAAGGTGGTATGCATACCGGCGCCAACGCCTGCAAACAGCAGGCCCAGTGGGGAAATTGTGCCATCCGATCTTTGGGCTTGGAGAAAGTACGGCCAGAAGCCCATCAAAGGTTCCCCTTATCCAAGGTAACAACATATATATAATTTCTGCAAAATTAATTCAATTTTTTTTTTTTTCTAGTTTTTATCTTTCACAAATTTTGTCATTGACACATACTGCACACACACACATACATTAATAATTATTTATCTCATTTATTTTTATTTTGCTGCTACATAAGTTGTCATTAATTTGGTTTAATTAGTGTTTGATTGCACAAATTTAAATGTTGTTTTAGTTTTAAGTTTGGCAATATTAGTAATGGTTTGTGTAAAAATCAAACTTAGGAAAACATTCTGACATAATATATATAAAAATTATCAGTCAGAATCATATTCCTAGCAACGTATGTAAAGAAATTTAATTTTCTTTTAAAGAAAAATCAAATTACAAAAATCAAATTACTCTTATGTGGACTTTTTTTAATTAGTAATTACATTATCTCATCCCTTTTTACATGCACAGGTACTACCAAGAACACATCCAAAACCTAAATTAATTAATAGTAACTATGGGAAATTATAGTCTATTTGGTTTTAAAGAAAAATTAAGGAGTGATTAAAGGGGAAGATATAAATTTTCAAATAGGATTAAACATATATATTCAGCTTAAGATAAATCATTTCTCTCACTAAACATGATGATAATCTTTTGAAGGTTATAACAAGACTTCTGACTTTTGTGAGGGAAATTGCAAGGCTAAATTTCATTTTTAGTACACTATATTGGTCATTTTTCATTTTTAATACACTATGTTGGTCATTTTTCAAAAAAAATTCATCATATAGGGTGTCATCAAGAATAGTCTACTAATTTGCCATTTTAATCAAATCGTGTGTCTATATACTGCAGGGGTTAATCGACCCGTCTAACAATTAGTCCGTCTCGCACAAAAATTTCTTTACGACATTATATACTGTAGGGGTTAATCGACCCGTCTAACGGTTAGACCGTCTTACACAATAATTTATCTACGACATTGTATACTGATAGGAGTTAATCAACCCGTCTTACGGTTAGACCGTCTCACGCAAGAATTCATGTACGACATTATATTACTGCAGGGGTTACTACAGATGCAGTAGCTCAAAGGGATGTTCGGCTCGAAAACAAGTGGAGCGGAGCCGAACCGACCCAAACATGCTTGTAATCACCTACACATCGGAGCACAACCACCCGTGGCCCACCCAAAGGAACGCCCTCGCGGGCTCCACACGATCTCAATCGTCCAAGACCAACAACACCAACGTCGTTCCAAAAAGCCCGGACAAATCTCAGGCCCCGCAAAAGCCCACGGATCAAAAGGAAACCTTACCCGTGAAGGAAGAAATGGGTCTGGATCCGGTTCGGATGGAAACCAATGGCCTGGATTTCGACACAGAGTTTCCAGGCCCGAGCCAGCTGGCGGAGGACAACTTTTTCGCGGATTTGGGGGAAATCGAGACGAATTCTCTGGGAATCTTCGGGTTTTCGGGTGGAGACGGGTCGGATAACAAGGGTTTGGACCCGTTTAGTTTTTACGACTGGGCGGGGAGTAGTAATGGAGATAGCTCGTCTCACGGGGAGGCTAATAAGAACGACTCGTAACACGAAGAAATAAAGCGTCGTTTATATATATAGAATTATAAATGAATACAATTGCAGAATTTTAATTCGGTGCAGTTGGATACGGTTAGGTCGAGCCATGCATATGTGTGAGTGTGAGTGTGAGTTTTTGACGTGGGTTTTTTTTTTTTTTTTGTTCTTATAAGTTATACATTCTAATTTAGATTCTTTTTTACTGTGCAACTTCTTGTAACGACTGGTTTTTTACTTTTTGGGTAGTGTAAGGGTGAAAATGGAGAGTGAAAAAGTGTTAATTAGGTTAAAAACTTAGAAAAATAGTATCCATTTTTCCTTTTATTTGCGATATATAATTGGACGGCACACAAAGTAGAGGAACAGAAGGTTGCAATAGTATTGTGAAAAGATGGAAATTAAAGAAATATAATAATAAGAGTACATAAAAGAAGGGAAGTAGGTTTTATGAGACATGAAAGGATGGCTCAATGAAGGGATTATGATGAGGGATGGGACTCCAGTTGGCATGTTTGAAGTGGGTTTAATTATGCACACACAAAAAATTGTAAGGAAGCTTTCGATTATCTAGTTTAAGGTTACAAACGAGTCGAATCAAGTTGAATATATATTGTCATTAGTAAGTTTGATTCATTTAATTTTCTTCACCGTTGCGCACGAATTCGAGCTTGATCACAAAGAACTAAGCACTTGAGGTTCAATTGGACTCAATAAAGAACGCTAAAGTTTGAAGTTGATCGGCATGAATTTCTCAAGTTCGACTCTAAATTTTAATAGAAATGTCTAGTACTTAAGCATATTTTAAGTGTTTTTACATATATTTTAGCGCCAAATCTTATGCTTGTAGGTTTTAGCGGTCACACCAACACTTGACTCGATCATTTAAAGATTTTCTCATTTTTCATAGATTTGATGATGGAGCACAAAATAAATTTAAAATAAATAAATAAATGAGTTATACACGTACGAGTACACTCTTATAAACACTGAAATTTGTTATTGTGCATGCATGAAACTCAAGTCCTTAATTCCTACACATCAAAGTAATTATCATTTTAAAAAGTTTCATATATTAATTAAAAACTCATGAAAAAACACATGATATAAGGACAAATTGGGAAGATGATGAAACTTAAGTCTTTAATTTTTTTTTTATGGTAATTGATTAATAATTATAAGGAAGATGCTACTGTCCCATTACGGAATTATTCCGTCGGGATTTTGTAACTGTTAGATCAACTATCTTTGACGGTTATAAATCCCGACGAAATAATTCTGCAAAGAGACCGTAGTATTTCTCTCTCTCTCTCTCTCTATATATATATATTATTATTATTATTATTAGTTGGCAAAACAGTGAGTTCAAGATTTGTCAAATCCATCTATCAACTTTCTTTCTTATCAAGAATTGCATTTGCATTTTTCAATTAATTTAATTGAAAAACGTATTCTCAAAATACGTTTTTCATGTAAAA